TGAGAGGGTACGCGAGCTCAGGTCGTGTGCACGTCTTTAGGTACATGAGGCAACCCACAAGCTCTGGATACGGGCCACTCGGCTCTACGGACTCGTCCGAAGGTGGAGCTGAGAGCGAGTGGCTGGTAGACAGAGGAGTGGGCTGTGGCGAGGAGAACTGGAAGCCGAAGCGCTAAAGGACCTGGTGCACCATGTGTGACTGAGTCAGTGTGATGGTGCGCCATGCTCTGTCCCGGGTGATCTGCAGGCCAAGATAGCTGCGCAGTTCACCCATGTCAATGCAGGTGTCTCTTTTGCAGCTCGGACTTCACAAGGGTCAGTGCCTCAGTGTCAGCAGTGGCAAAGACGAGGTCGTCGACGTACAAGAGGACGTAGAACGGCGGCAGCGACGTGTCGGTGCGTAAAAACAGCGACGGGTCAGCAGTAGAAGGAGTAAACCCCAGAGCCGCAAGTGTAGTCCTCATTGTGTCGTGCCACTCACGAGGCGCCTGGCGGAGACCGTAGACTGGCCGCCGGAGGCTCCAGTGGGTACCTGCAGGAAACGACCCAGTGAAGCCAGGTGGGCGGCGCAGCCAGATCTCCTCGTGCAGGCTGCCCTGCAAGAACGCTGTACTGAAGTCCAGAGAGTGTAACTCGTAGTCACGCTGAGCAGCAACGTGCAGCAACACCCAAAGAGTGGTCATCTTCGGGGTGGGGGAGAAGGTCTGAAACTAATCTACCCCCTGTCGCTGACTTAAGCCTCTAGCAACATAGCGCACCTTGAATGCAGGCGGAGAACCCTGCGGCCGCTTCACCCTGAAGATCCACATGCCATCGACTATGTTCGCCTGAGACAGGAACGTAGGTGCCTGTGGACTTCTAGGATGCCATCTCGTCATCCATGGCTTCCTGTCACTGAGAGGAGTAAGGACCCGTAATCGCCTCTGCGTAAGAGCGCGGGGTCGGGATGTCAGGTGCATCTAGGTCTCCCTCAGGGGCAAGCAGCATGGAAGCGAAACGAGGTACAGCAGCTGCAAGACACTCAAAGTCCTCCTACCTGTCCTCAAGGACGTCCGTGCCAAGAGCACACTCACCCCCGACGGACGGAGGACTGGCAGACGCAGACTCACCAACTAGAGCAGTGGCGTAGTCTAGACGGCAGGCAGCAGCAAAGTCAAGCAGCTCTGCAACGAGAGCAGACGCAGCAGCAGACTCAAAAGAAGGGTCAGTGACAATAGTGGCGAGGAGACGAGAGACAGTGGGACTGGCAGCACGAGCGCGGTCAGACTCAGGGTCAGGGACCTCAAGAAGAGAGGACTCAGGAGGAGCAGGCAGAGGAACACGCAGTGGAACAGAGGAAGGACGGAGCGCCATAGCGTGCGTGCCGGGGAGAGGAGGAGGACACGAACAAGGAACGCGACGAGCAGAGCGAACAGGCGAGACAAGACGAGACGCAGGCTCGCGACGCTCTGTAAGACCGCTGGACTGCTCAGTGTAAGGAGACGGAGCAGGCAGTGGGGAGGCTGGGTGTAACGGCGGCTGCGACTGGTCAGGCAGTGGACACAGGAAGGGAGGAGTAAGGCCAGTAGAAGACGGGACACCAAGAACTAGCTGAAGCAGGGGAACAAAGTACGGTCACGGCCGCACAATGCCTCCAACACCTCCAGCGCCAAGGTCAACAGCTCCAGCTCCTGCAGCTCCAGCGCCTCCGGCGCCAGTGCCTCCAACTCCAGCTCCAGGGCCTCCTGCGCCAGGGCCACCAACTCCAGCTCCTCCAGCTCCAGCGCCTCCAGCGCCAGCTGCTCCAGGCTCCGTAGGGTCTCCAGCTCCAGCGCCCCCAACACCACCAGTCCCGGCAGCTCCAGCACCACTGGTACGAGCACCTCCAGGACCAGTAGCCGCAGTACCTCCAGTACCACCAGCTCCAGCAATAACACCAGCACCTCCAGCTCCAGTGTCTCCAGCGCCTCCAGCTCCGGGAGCTCCACTGCGATGGTGTGCGCGCCGAACAAGCCACTCGCGCAGCTGTTGCGAAGACAGTCGTGGAGAATCACCAGCAGGACCTCCTGACGAAGCAGCACCCCCAGACTCTGCACCCTCCAACTCAGCACCCCCAGGCTCAACACCTTCAGGCTCAGCACCCCCAGGCTCCTCACCCCCAGGCCCAGCACCCCCAGACCCAGCACCCTCAGACCCCGCACCCCCCGGCTCCGCACCCCCAGACGCAGCACCCCCAGACGCAGCACCTGGAGTAGAACCTGAGCCGACAGCTACCTGAACAAGCGCAGTACCAGGGAGAGGGTCTACCTGAGACACACCCGAGGGAGCTGGACCCTGGGGCGGGAGGGGGTCTACCGGAGGTGGACCGGGAGCAAGGAAGAGCGGCGGGGGCGGGGGAGGGGCAAAGCAGTAGGGGAAGAGACGGTAGAAGGGAACCGACTCGTCGAACGTGACGTCCTGAGACGGGAGGACACGGCGCGAGGTGGGGTGGTAAATCTGCTAGCCATGCGCGTCAGATACAAAGCCAAGGAAGACACAGGGAATGGCGCGGGCGGAGAGCTTGTCCGCGGACGTATCGCGAACAAAGGCACGAGAACCCCAGACCCGGAACACCGACGCATCGCCAACCTTCCCCGTCCAACGCAGTGTGGGCGAGGTCGCCGGCAAGGAGACACGGGGCCAGAGGTTGAGCTGATGCGCAGCGTACCGGACCACAAACGGCCACAGAAAATGGGGAGCGGCCGCATGGATCATGGAGGTACGAGCGACCTCCATGACTAAGCCAATGTGGCGCTCAGCAATCCGATTCTCCTGAGGGGAGGCCGGAAGCGTGAACGACTTGAGAATGCCCTCCCCACGACAAAAGTCCCGCAGGAGGTCGGAGGAGAACTCACCACCTCTGTCAGAGTGTTGACGCAAGACAGGAAGGTCCTGGCCGAACTGCTCGCGGAGTTGGAGACGGACTGTGCGGATCCAAGGGGTCAAGACATCAACGACCTCACCCTTGCTGCGCAAGGGGAAGACCGTGGTGTACCGCGTGTAGTCGTCAACTACCAGCAGAAAGTTGCACTCGCGGCCCTGTCCACTGACGCGGGCTGGGCCCCACACGTCCATGTGGAGAGTCTGCAGGGGAGTAGTCGTCGGGGGAAACGAGGAGAAGTGAGGAGCGGCGCGCTGCTGCCCCTCGACGCAAGGAAGGCAGGGCGGGGCATGGGAGGGCGGGAGGGGAGGCAAAGACCTAGGTAGACCAGAGACGAGAAGACGGGAGTGCATGCCACGAAGGCGTGGCAGGGAGGGGTGACCCAGGCGGTGGTGCCACAGAAGAGTCTGGTGCGACAGGAGGCGACACGAGCAAGAGGCGGCTACCTGACCTGACGCGGACACCTTAGCAGACGCAGCTACCTGAGGAGGCTCGGTAGCCAGTGTGTACAGACTCGACCCTGGCCCACGAGTGAACGTAGCCAGGTGACGCCCCATCCGTGTGCACGTGCAGATCGACACATGCTGACCTCTAGGAGTGGTGGTAGTGACCATCGCATCCTGGAGGGCTCGGAACTCACCAGGTTCGTGGAGAACGAGGGGAGGTGAAGGCCTGGCAGTGAGCCGGACGGAACCGCCGAACACGGGAGGACCGTGGAGGAACGGGCAACGACCGGGCCCCCATAGGGGTCAGCCAGTCGTACCGGGAGAGGTGTAGAGAGAGGAGTGAGAGTGGTGCTGTCACGAAAGAAACAAGCAGAGGCGCCTGAGTCCAGTGTGAAGGTGTGCAAGGCCTGAGCAGGCGCAGTACCAGGGAGAGTACCAGACTCACTAGCACCTAGAGCAGCAGCAGCTATACCTGGGTCAGGCGGCACACACCGTTAACAGACACCCTCAGCACTAACAGACAAAGCATACATAGCAGGAAGAATAACATCATAGTCTAGATCAAAGATAGCAACTCCAGACTTAAGCAAATCCGCCCAGCTAGGACGCTCGACCTCGTCACCAAACTCAGCACGCCAGGCGTCGTCGAGGCGGGAGAAGCAGCGGTGCTCAATGTGAATTTTCCTACATGTCTGGCCAGCACAGACACCTGTGCGAATGACATACGGGCAGCTATCACTACCCCCAACCGTCCCACGCTGAAAGAACCACTCACGGAGCTGCTGGGGCGACTGGGTCCTGCTCCGACGCTGCTGCTGTTGCGCGGACCACCACCAGAGCCTCCACGCCGAGGTCCAGACCGACCACCACCAGTCTCACCACCTCCACAGCCGCCACTCCCTCCGCTGCCTCCACCGCCGCTACCAGAGCCCCCACTGCCGCCACCAGTCCCACCGCCGCCACCCCCTCCACTGCCTCCACCACCTCCACCGCCGCCCCCACCACCGCTCCCGCTGCCACCTCCACCACCCCTGCCACCCTTGCCCTTGCTGCTGCGGCGCTTGGCACTGGCAGAAGCAGCTCCGACGTCCTCAGCAACTGAGACGTCTGCAGCAGCAGCAGAGGCTAAGGAGGGGGCAAGGGGGGAGGAGGAGCACCCGTCAAAGAAGGCCGGGCGCGGAGTACCACGAGCAGCACCTACAGCAACTGCACTAGTCTCAGCTACGAGGAGATGCTGCTCGAGGAGGTCAACAGTGAGGGAGGTGGGGTCAAGAGTGAGAAAGTGGTCCCTGACAGAGCGAAGAGAGTCAGGGAGGCGAGTGACTATGAAGTAGAGGGTGATGAACATGGGGGGCTGGTTTGTGGCAAGGAACTCAGCAGGGACGGTAGCGCGGTAGCGAGCGTCGCTAGTGCACAGGTGGGAAACCAGGTCCGCTACTGTGGCAAAAGCCGACAGCTCAGGGAACAGGTAGGGCAGTAGCAGTCTGCCTAGAGCAGCATTGGCAGGCGAGGAGTAGCGAGGAACGACAACGTTGTACAGGGCCTGTGCTGTCCTTTGCTGTCCGAAGTTATTACATTTGGCCACCGGCAGGTGGTTGCGAATGGCTTAGCGGGCAGCAGTGTCGCGAGAAAGCCATTGTGAGCGAGTCGCACTCTCAGCTGTGGCGGGAGGGGCTGGAGTGGCACCGAACACGTGGTCAAACAGCGAAACACTGTCCTTAATATCGCTCAGTAGGTACAGCTGCAGATCGTTGAGCCACGTGTCAAACGCAACCGGTCTGCCCTCATGATCGAACGCTAGGACTCGAAGCGAAGCCATAGTGGCGCAGTACACAGGAGCAGCAATAGCAGTAGTAGCAGCAGTAGTGGTCAGGGGCCAAGGGGCCAAACATGACGGGGGGGGGGGGGGCGGAGGGGGGGGGGGGGGGCGAGGGGCCAAGGGGTCACGGGGCACCGAGGCCACTGCTAGGATGATGTGCGTGGCCAGGTGCCCCGGTCTAGGGCGACTGGGCCGCGGGGCCAGGAGCAAAGGGGGGCCGGGCGATGGGGCCTCGGGGCCGTCCTAGGGGCGACGGGCGACGGGGGGGCCGAGGGGCCGTGGGCCTAGGGCGACGGGGCCGTGCTAGGGACGACGGGCGACGGGGGGCCGAGGGGCCGTGGGCCTAGGGCGACGGGGCCGCGGGGCTGTGCTAGGGACGACAGGTGACGCCAAGGGGCGACGGGCCTAGGGGCAACGGGCCGGGCTACGGGTGGCGACGGGCCGGGGCCTAGGGGCCTACGTGTCGCGACAGGCAGCATGTGGTGGGCCCAAAAAAGTGGTCCTAGGAAGGGACCTGCTCTGAAACCATGTCTGAATGAACGAACAAGAATGAATGCATTGAGCAGAAGCTGGGAACAAGTACTAACCCTAATTGGGTTGTACCCCTCATGGGCTAACCCGCTATAGCCTACACAAATGTAAAAGCTATAATGTTCTGACATATGCAGCTTCTCCCAGTGCGCGTCGTCGAACCACGCCGCCTTCATGGATGGGTCCAAGAAGGTGGCGATCCAGTACTCGTTGCTGGTGATGTAGGCGTACTTCTTCAAGTGGCTCAGCGCCGCCACGATCATCGGCTGCAGCGTCGGAGATGGCCCCTTGGCAAGGCGCGACTCCATGGCGTCGATCAGGTTGTTGTAGTACGTCACCACCATCGACACAGTCGGGTACGCCGCCCCCTCAGCTGCCTTGGAGACTTTGGCAAAGGGGCTTAGGAATGTCTTCACCGCCTGCAGGGTCTCCCAATCTGCGTCTGTCAGGCGCAGACTCTCCACCTTCTTCTTGTCGGTCTTCGACAAGCCCTGTCGGGTAGAGGGAATGGTTTGGGGGGAGGTATGAGGGAAACTGTGGTTATGGAGGATTTTGGCATCCGGCCGGCAACATGACATAACCACACACTACAACCCACACACAACACATGTTCTACCTGTGTCTGGGCAAAGAAGGTGATGGGGTTCTGCAGAACACCCGCACGCTCGACCATGTCGTGGGTCGACCCCCAGCGCGTAGGACTGTCCTGCACCAGCTTCAACGCCGGTTTTGGCTTGGCGGGGTTTGCCTGCGAGTTCAAGGTCCGCTATAGCCCCAAGAAAGACCCCGAGCGTTGTGGAGAGAAGCCAATCCACGACGCCATCTCTCTCAATATCTTCAATAACTTCCGTATGGAATCCACAGACAGTGCTGCCTGCACTGCAAGGTTTATCACGTGTGCCAAGCACCTGCGCACAGAACACAACATTAGGGAAAGAGATAAGGGGAAGTTGGAGGACACATGGTTAGATCGAGCAACAAACTCATACCAGACCCCACACACCCTACAACTCGAACCGCACCGGCCCACCCCTCCATACAACTACAAATTGTCCATGCTGGAACGACACACCCACAAAGGCAAACACACGCCCACACTCCCACACACCCAACCCACGCACACTTCCACACTCACCGAAAGTGCATGCGCGAGTTGAAGAAGCACTGACCACCACCCTCCTCCGACATCCGCCTGAAGGCGGCAATGTTGCTAGAGGTGTTGTCTGTCGTGACACCAATACAACGCCCCTCCAACCCCCACTGCACAACCGTCTCCTCAACCACCTGCGCCATCTCCCTGCCCCCATGCCGCCCGAGCATCTCACAGAACTCAAGCACCATTGTGCGCAGCTGGAAGTTCTCGTCTATCCACTGACCAATCACCACTAGCCATGCCTTGTTGTTGGGTGCCGTCCACATGTCGATGGTGATCGACACCTTGCACCCCAACTCCCCCTCCTTCGCCAGCATCTCCGCAATGGCGGACTGGAGAGCGCCTGCTGCATAGACTACAGTGTCACGGGATACCGTCCAGCGCGAGGGGATGAAGTTCTTCTGCGCACAGTTGCGGTTTAGCAGGATCAATAGCTCCCAAAACTGGAGGGGGGTAGAGTAGAGACAACGAGGGAGAGGGTTTTCAACGTCAAGGGGATGGTTTTGAGACAAAGTGGCACACGATTACAATAGTATAGAAGCATCAAATAGTCAACCACATACTGCCAAATCCCCTTCATACAGCAGGCATGGGACACTCACAGCCTCGGACTCGACGATGCGGAAGGGGAGGTCGCAGGTGACCACCAGCTTGGCGATCGCCTGCCGTAACTGTCAGAATAATATATAATTCTATATATTGTTCTATAACTGCCTGTAGTTTAGAATACTGTAGTCATATAACTTTCTGTTTGGTGGTGCACCTTTCTTCATTCTTGCCTATTTGTACTGCTCTCTCTATAGTGAACAACCTCTTTTGTTGGCTCACACCTCTCGCTACTCCCCATCCCAAGTTCCTAAGCTACTCTCTAAGCTATGGAGGTTCCTAAGGCATAGCACTTATTCTGATAGTAACTCCTCCGTGGACAGCTTGGTTGTCATGAACCGCTCCATCCCGCCTGACCCCCGAGCTCCACCGGACGCCGTCCCTTTCTTCTTGGCGAGATGCGGCCAAGACTTGGCATGCGGCCACCCATCGACGTAGCCATCCGGCACACCTTTGTAACCCCCACGAGGAAACGTCTCCCCAGGCAAGTGAACGGACGGAGTGTGGTAACGGTGATGCCACACGAGCATGTGCGCTGTGTGGTAGCTCTCGAAGTGCCGCTCGCCAGGTGTTGTTGTGGATTGCTTCCACGAAATCCTGTCAGTGCAAATCTTGCACTGACGCTTCTCGTCTGCCCCTTTAGGCCCGAACATCTGTACTTGCCACCCCAGTTTGTTATTACCCTTGCCAGTCCCCTTACTACTCTCGGACCCTCCGTCCTCGTCTAGGAACTCCGGAGTGACCACACCCTCACCCAAGAGCTTCCCAGTGAATGTGCAGGGATACGCTCGCTCCTTCAACTTGTTCGCCCTCTTCCTCCGCTTCATCCCCGCAATGGACGCCCGCTTTCTCCCCACCTTAACCCCCATGCTCCCTCCTCCTTCAGCCACATGCTGTGAGGCTGCCTTTGTCGCCACCCCTCCACCACCCTCTCCCACCCCCTCCTCCACCTCCTCTGGCTCCAACCCATCCATCTCATGGTCCTCCTCATCATCCCCCCCTTTCCCACCGCCATGCGTCTCGGGATCCCACCCGGCCTCACTGTCATCCCCGCTCCCCTCATCGTCCTCATCCTCCTCGCCCTCACCCTCCTCCTCCTCATCCTCCTTCCCACTACCACCCTACGGCTGCGTCTGCCCAGAAGGAGGGGGTCGCGGGCCTGAGTAACGGAACGAGTGACGGGACGTCGGCGCCACTACCAAAAGAAACCCCCCGACGAAACAAGCGCCGGATCCTGCAGGTCCATCCCCTACTTGGTGGTGGTGGAGAACCTGGTATACCACCCTGAGCGCTGCCTGCACTCCGTCCTACAAATCCATGTTGGGCGGAAGCCATAACTCCGCCCTCGGCCTTAAAACCCTAAAACCCCAAAGTAACGGTCGCAAGCCACGGATAGCATGGTCCTAATTGAACTCCTAGTTACATGTGGCACGAAGAAATGCCCGCCCCTACAACTAGACAATTGACCTCTACAAGCTTGATCCCTAGCTACCAACCCTTAGTGTTTCTGAAATTACCCTACACTATTAACTACTTAGATTAAATGTCAGTGTAAAAGTTAAGGAACGGTGTACGATGGCTCTTAAACCCGCAAGGCTACGGCGGTTGTGGGAGGGAGGGCTAAGCGCCAAAGTCGTTTTGAGGTTGAGCTTAAAATATGAGCTCAAACTCAAAACGGCCGCGACTTAAATTTGGTCGCGGCCAATTTTGATGCGAACACTGTGGTGTTCGCCTGCCCCCCAAATCGAACACGAACGTGTTCGTGTTCGTACATCCTTCGCCAAATGGAGGTGGCGAACGGCGAACATGTTCGGCCGAACACCGAACATGTTCGCCCCGAACTAATTAGTCGAAAAATAAAATGTTCGAGGCAAACCGAACAGGTGTTCGAGATTTTGCTCAACCCTACAATGGACTACATCAGATGCTAGCAAGCATGCGGGCCGACTGCCAGCGCAGCACGGTCAACCGCGTTCTAGCACTGCATGGTTGACCGCACTCCAGCAGTGCGAAGCCGCGGTCTGCCAACACTGCAAGTCGGCGGCGTGACAACGCTGCAGCACGGCGGCTGAACAGCGTTGCACCCGCAGGACAACAGCGCATCTGCTTCAAAGGTGCTCGCAGCAGGTTGGCGTGCTGTGCCTCGTCACGTTCATAGCACAGACGCCAAGCTGACCATGTGCCCACGACTGCACCTGATCCTCCACGTTGACCTCGGGATACCACACCGAGGTCGGCTTCTGTGGAATCACAGACATTAAGAGTGCAGAGGGAGAGGAAGTGGTCTTTCAAAGTGGTCAACAGCGAGTGAAGTGCAGAGGGCGAGCAGTGGGAAGAGATGCGGGCAGAGGGATAGCGGGTGGCAGCAGGTGTGTGCATCTGACCTGCCATTTTAGAGTCAGCGCAAAAGTCACCTCGGTCCAAAGGCACACGACTCTTTGCCATCAAGGAAAGTTATTATCTCATGGAGGTTATCCAAGAGAGCCGGAAAATATTATTCTTTTGCTAACAAATTCTAGAGTAGAGAGGTGTTACTGTTTTGTTCTTATGCTATTTCTCCTTTCTCTTCAAGTTCCCTCCGCGAGGATTTTCTCGCTCGTGAAAACGGGGTAACGTTCTCACTATAAGAACACAGGCTATAAGAAGCACTCGTTTACACTAGGACTCTTTGCGGTCTGATGGAGTCTTTGACATCAAAACCGGCTACCACCAAAATGCGACACAAGAGTTTTGTCCTACGTGCATGCAATGAGGAGAGTCACTCTACAATGGTGGTGAGCTAGACTACGAGGTTGGCATGAACTACGTAGCTTTCCTAGTTCCTTAGTGCTTGCACAATTACGGGAGAAATCGGAAAGAGTTTTCACTAGCAAAGTTGGAGTTACAGAATTGTTAAACAAGCAATGACAAGAAAGACTACATCAGGCACCTAGCAACTCTGCAGCTAGCCTGGTCGACAGACAGCACAGCATGGTCGACCGCGTGCCAGCGTTGCGTAGAGGAGCCGCGCCAGCACTGCAGAAAGGCGACCTGCCAACACAGCAAGTCGACGGTGTGCCAACGCTGCAGCAGAGCGGCTGTCCAGCGTTGCCTCGTAGAATACAGTGCGCACGCTCGCAGGTGCACGCAGATGATTGGCCCGACTTGCACCGTTGCACATCTGTTGGCCTTTGCCTGCGCATGACGAGCCACATCGACTTCCGGATACCAACCCGAAGTTGCCTTCGCCATCGCGACTTCGACGACGTTCGCGTGCCTCCGCAGAACTCGTCGGGCAGGTTACCTGGTCAACCTGGACAACCCTAGGTGCTTTGGTCGACTACCAAGTGCCTCTGGTTGACCACCGGGTGCCCCTGGTCGACCACAGCTCCTATCGAGCTACCCCCTGGTCAACGGACCCCTTCCGTCGACCAGAACTGTCAGCTGTTGTCGACGAGCTCCCCTCGTCGACGGCTGCTCTCTTCTCAGGTCGACGGACTGCTCCGTCGACCTCCCGGTCGAACTGCCCCTCCTGGTCGACGGCCCACCCGTCGCCCAGACCAGTCAGTTACAGCTGTCGAGCTCCCTGGTCGACAGCAACACCACAGCGGTCCCTTGCAGTTCGACGAAGCCCGTCGAGCAGTTCTCCCACTGTGGATGGTCGGCCGCTACTCTCGTACATCCGACCAAGTTGTCGGCGTTGCCCAAGCGAGGGCGGGGCCAACACTTCATTCCCGTTAACATGCAAAACTCTTGAAGCACCTCACCTGGCTGAGTATCGCTCCTCTGGCACCAGCCTCCACTCCCTCAAGAAGCAATGTCACCTTTGAATCGACCCAGAAGTCACAACAACATATGCTGCCATGTATAGTCACGGCACCCATTTGAGGCCCACTCAGATGAGTGCATGTCGTCTCACCTGGCAGAGTATCGCTCCTCTGGTACCAGCCTCCACTCACTCAAGCTGTGATGGGGACGAGAAGACAACAGGGATGCAGAGGGATGCAGAGGTATGTCAAACTTATATCTGCTATAGTCTGTTTAGGCTGTAGTGGGGTAGTTCCTAGAGGGTACAACACTTTTGTGTTCTCTACTTGTACCCATCTCGTTTCTAGTTCAATCACTCATTCCTCAATTCTCACATGGTATAGAGCTAGTTTCGATTTTTCCTAAGGGCCCACCACTGAAAATATTTTTTTTTTTTCCTTACCTGCCCGACGCGCGCGTCGCGCCTGCCCTTCACGGCCCGTAGTGGCCCCCCCTTGAGGCCCGTAGCGGCCCCCTTGAGGCCCGTAGCGGCCCCCCTTGAGGCCCGTAGCGGCCCCCCTTGAGGCCCGTAGCGGCCCCCTTGCGGCCCGTTAGGCCCCTTCACAGCCCGTCGCGGCCCCCTTCGCGGCCCGTCGCGGCCCCTTCACGGCCCGTAGTGCCCCCCCTTGAGGCCCGTAGCGGCCCCCTTGAGGCCCGTAGCGGCCCCCCTTGCGGCCCGTTAGGCCCCCTTGCGGCCCGTAGTGGCCCCTTTCACGGCCCATTAGGCCCCTTCGCGGCCCGTTAGGTCCGTCGCGGCCCCCCTTCACGGCCCGTTAGGTCCGTCGCGGCCCCCCTTCGCGGCCCGTTAGGTCCGTTGCGGCCCCCCCCTTCGTGGCCCGTTAGGTCCGTCTCGGCCCCCCCCTACGCGGCCCGATATACCCCTTCGCGGCTCGTTAGGCCCGTCGCGGCCCCTTCGCGGCCTGCCCAGGCCCTTCCCCGGCCCCTTTCACGGCCCGTTAGGCCCCGTCGCGGCTTGTCGCGGCCCCTTCGCGGCCCGCTAGGCCCGTTGCGGCCCTCTTCGCGGCCCGCCCCGGCCCTTCCCCGGCCCCGTCCCGGCCTTGTCCCCGACCTGCCCCGACCCCGGCCCTGCCCCGACCCTGTCGCGGCCCCGTCCCGGACCTGCCCCGACCCCGGCCCTGCCCCGACCCTGTCGCGGCCCCGTCCCGGACCTCCCCCGACCCTGGCCCTGCCCCGGCCCCGTCGTGGCCCCGTCCCGGACCTACCCCGACCCTGTCGCGGCTCTGTCCCGGACCTGTCGCGGCCTCGCCCCGGCTCTGCCCCGGCCCGACCCCGACTCTGCCCCTGCCCTGCTCCTGCGCTGTCGCGGCCCTGCCTCGGCCCGGCCCCAGATCTCTTGCGGCCCGGCCCCGGCCCTACCCCGGTCCTGCCCCGACCCTCCCCCGGCCCTGCCCCGGCCTCGCCCCTGGTAAGCGCACCGCCGAGCCGAGCCGCGCTGCCGAACCGCACTGCTCCACCGTGCTGTGCCGCCCTGTCGAGCCGCCCTACCGAGCCGCGCTGCCCTGCTTAGCCTGCTTAGCTGAGTTGCACTGCTGCTGCTGCTAGCCTACTGCTGCTGCTGTCATGGCTAGTCTCAGTGTCCTTACTTTTGATGCTGAGGGTCGAGCAGTTGACTTTGAGGTCTGGCTAGATGATCTACAGCTTTTCCTACAGTGCGATAGCAAGGATGGCCTCTCACTGTTCGATCTCACGTCTGGCGCCTCTACTGCCCCTGCTGCTGATGCTGACAGTACTGTTCGCTCGCAGTGGACCACGCGAGATGCTGCTGCCCGCCTTGCTGTGCGTAGTCACCTACCGTCTACTGAGCGCGCGCACTTTAGTCAGTACAAGAGTGCTAAGACTCTGTACGACGCTGTAGTTGCACGCTACAGCTCCCCTGCCACTGCTGCCCTCAGCCGCCTCATGCTGCCGTACCTTTTTCCTGACCTTGCCGCCTTTGCCACAGTTGCTGACCTGGTTGCTCACCTACGCACCAGTGACGCCCGCTACCGCGCTGCCCTTCCCACTGCGTTCCTTCCCACGAACTCCCCCCCCCACGTACATCACCCTTTACTACCTAGTCACCCGCCTCCCTGACTCTCTCTCTTCAGTCAGGGACCACTTTCTCTCCCTTTGCCCCACCGAGGTGACTGTCGACTTGCTAGAGGAGCGCCTTGCTGCAGCTGAGAAG